TACATCTAGAAATCTGTTAATTTTTTATGAAAGAAAGAATTTATTTTCTCTAATAAATGTAACGACTATTGGAAAGAAAGGGACACATTGAGTACATATTCTCTCAAACATAATTTGTACAAAACGTTTGACGCTAATATTTTAAGTAATATGTTCTAAAAAGAGAGATTCGAAATTTGGCCATGATTCAATTGTAAAAATTAAAGAATTAAAAAAAAACTTTTTTCACTTCTCACCTTTTTACAAAAATAAAATTAAATATAAGTATTCTAAGAAACATTCTACAATAAAATACGATAATGACTACTCTGAAGGTTCTACATTCGCAAACATATCATGCACTGTGATCCCGTTGAATAAAGAATGCTTAAGATGCAATTCTCGCTTACATTTTAGTCACAGTTGCCTCTTTATGCACTTGTATTTTAGTTGGCCGAATTTCTTTGCCTGCGACAGCCGCCATGTAAAGTACGGCCTTGTGCCCTTTCTGTCATCGACAGCACTTAAGTCTCTTTGACGAAAGGCGAGAACTATTTTCTGAAGACTAGACATTTCTGCAAATCTCGACACACTCGTAAGTCTTTCAGATGCTGGCAGAATAGGGTATCTCATCTCTATAGATCTTAGGTTAAGGCTGATTCTGAGCGCTGCTCACACCGAACCTCCCGGGGCAGAGAAATAGTACCGAAGATTGAGGCGAAAAAGTATCTGCGACTGAAGTAGTGTGAGAAGTGCGACGAGCTTTTTCATCGACAGCTCTCAACGGGTCTTCATTATTTAAGAGCAGAAAACACATTTACAATATTTCTTTACTCTCATATTTTCTCAAACATTTCCTCGAGTTCTTTACAAGTTAGCATATTGTAATGAATAATCCTATCGACAGAGAAGATCATTGTGTGTGCCAAACTTGATTGCGTCCTTGCTGTAACGCTGCTTTGACGATAACAAAATTGTAACCATGAAGTAAACTGGTAATAGGAAAATAAGCTCATTTCTTACGATGACCCGTATCTTAGGAATAAAAGTTTTGTTCATTTTCGAATTTAATTAGAATCTATAAAATATACGTTTTCAACAAATAGCCAGTAACTCAGAAATTGCATTTAGATACTTCCGACTTACAATTTTTAAAACTCATAAAAAGTAATAAATTTAGACTTAAGACGTTCACGTGCAGTTTTAAAGCAACTTAAATGAAATGTAAGTTTACTTTAACCGAAATACAGATTTGTCAGATTTGCAAATGGTAGTGCACATTTGTATTTAGTTGTCCCTTGCAACCAATTTGTTTGACGAATAAAAGCACGCCAGGGCTTCAAACAACCACATGCTTAGATGGCTCAAGAACAGCATTGGCGTTGCATCTGCAGCGCTGCGGGCAGGGTGACCCTGAGTCCGAACGGTCCAATCCAACTTCTGTCTGGAGGAGAATATTAGCGGTCAGCTACTCAGTGGGTTCATTTCTCTGGTTTCTCCTACCTGTAACACGCAAGTGACTAACGCGGATCGTGTGGAATTTTTCCTTCATCCTTGTCGCTTCACATTACACGCACACGCACACACAAACACACACACACACACACACGCATAAACACATACTTGCATGCTACTTTACCGCTCATGGGAGGCCAGTCGGAAGCGAAGAGCTGGTCCCTGCTTGAGTGATGCTCCGAAGGGGGAGATACCTGCAGGAGGGAAATTCCGGAGGAAGGTCGGCGCCGAATCTCGCGCTTCAGAAGAGCCACCTCCCGGAGCATCGAGGCTGATGGCCTAAGGAGTGGCGCGTCCACAAGCACGAAACTTTGAATTATTTTGATCTTATTTTCACATAATTATTTACTTGCTTTAGACCCTTAGAGGGCGATGCGCTAGGAGACCGTACCTCATGTTAATAAACACGTGTGAAAACCCATTGCAAGACTGCAGTTTCCTACAAAAAGCTCGAAATGCTCAGTCGGTCCATCCCGACGCCCGGGGCGGCGTGTGGGCCGCTGGGAGCGGGGCGGAGGCTGCGCCCGCGCCGCCCACGCGCCAGCTGCCGCCGCCGCCGCCGCCGCCGCCGCCGCCCACGCCAAACAATTCGGAAATAGGACGCGCGCGCGCACACTGGGCCAACGGGGGTGCGATGAGGTGCGGATCCACGCGGAGGGAAAAGCGGAAATTTCACCCTGTGCAATTGTGGGTTAACGATTAATTTTAACTTCTCGCGAAACATTAAAGCAAAAATGTTTTCGGATAATATTTAAAACACATAAAATCGAATCGTAGTATTCGCTGGGTGCAGGCTGCGACATTTAAAAAATTCGTCTCTGGATCCGCCCTATTACAATTCTAGTACTGACGCTGTTATCACACAGAGCGAGGCAATTCAGGTAGAGGACGTCGGCACGTTCTTCGTGATATGTGCAATGAAGGATTCCTGCCCTGATGCGGCTTCCAAAAAGGTAGATTCCTGTAGAAAGTGTTTTATTTTATATTTTTACAGTTTCGTCGTAGCCTGAATGACGCTAACGTTGCATCTATTTCGAAGAATCAAAGGGGAGTTGTAGACTTGGGAGGTCGTTTACAAACCGCGCGTGCACTGCAATGCTGACGGCCGCCTGGTGAGGTCGGGCGTGATCACAAGATTGTCGTTCCGTCAATTTGGACCTCTATTCCGTCAATCTAGAAATTTGGATTTCTCGATGTTTGTAACAGAAATAAGTTTTTTTTTCTTCGGCTTTACTGAGAATTATTCTCATCATATTGACTCACTTTAAGCAAAACCTGGACTTATAGAAGAAAAAAATGATAAACTACAGTGCAGAAAAGAAGTGTTTCTGGATTGGACACTACTCTAGGGTGAATTGTAATGTCAATGAATGAAATGTTGTAGACAAACCTGCAAAAAACGTGCAGTGAACCCGTTTTGTTTATCTCAAATTCTTAACTCAAATCCGCAAGAAAAAAAATTGTTTCTGTAGAAACTAAAGCAAGACTTTTTAAACAATAACTGTAGTATTGTAGTAGTCTGTAGTAAACTGTAACTTGTAGTCTTCTTCATTCTGTAACTAAAATACAAATATTGAAAGAGGTTGGCTTCTTTCACTGTGAAAATAAATTTTGTAAGTAAACATAAACCGTTTGAAAAGGTTGCATTTAATGGGACTTTTATGAGCAAATGACTTTTCGTTCATTATTATTATTATTATTATTATTATTATTATTATTATTATTATTATTATTATTATTATTAATGAATTTTTCATTCAACAAAAGCGTGTAGAAGTTTTTTGAAAACTCAAATATCTGGTGTGCAGTGGCTCACCCAAAGGGTCTATTCGTGTTTGGAGGGTCCGTGCACTTTCCAAAGCCGATAACATAAATTCACAATAATTAATAAATTAATATTTTATATGAATATCATATATATTGCTATAAGTGAACAAATACAAATAAAAGGTCTAATCTCTTAAAACCAACTATCTCCTGTAAAATTTATCAAGGATGTTTAGTGTTTTGTTTACGTTTTAACTCGGTGCGACTGTAAAACTCTTCAAAAGAGAATATCATGACGCCAGAACTGAATCCCTTATCTAAATTGCGGCATTGTTCGTGTGCGATC